GTACGATTGTTCGCCGCGACCCTTTCTTTTCCAGCTCGTTTTTTATAATTACGTCATTGTCCACTTGGCAATTATGCTACTGGACAGTGTTTTCATCCTTACCTTTCTAATTATTGTTATTTCCTTACAATGTCCTAATTTGTAATTGTCGTAACAAAGTAGAAACAAGTCAAACATTTCGTGACTTTACGTATGATCAGATACATATAATTAAGTCTTAATATATATTGAAATGTTAGAATAATGCGATTATTGATTTTGTAAATACGAAAAATATTACAAAACAAAACGTACAATTAATAAAATTTATGAAATAAAAGAGCACAGCGATTTACGGTATCTAATTTTTTTCTTCTTACCCTTTCTTCCATTTCTCTCTCTCTCTCTCTCTCTCTCTCTCTCTCTCTCTCTCTCTCTCTCTCTCTCTCTCTCTCAATTAATATTTTCACTCTCTCTTTTGCTTCCTCTTTCACTCTACTTCAAATTATCTTCTCACTCTCTCCGTAAATTATTCTTCACTTCCCTCTGTTTCTCGACTCACTCCATGTCTCTCTCTTACTCCGTACCTCCCAGTTTCTTTCTTCTCTCTCTCTCCCCCCTCTCTCTCCATTTCCCTCCTCTCCGCCACTCCCTACCACCTCCCCCTTTCCCTCCCCACCACCTCCCCTTTCCCACTTCCTCCCCTCTCCCTCCCCTCACCCTTTCCCTCTCTCTCTCTTCTCTTCCCTTCCCCTCTCTCTCTCTCTCTCACCACTCTCCCCTCCCCCCTCTCACTCTCTCATAAATTCTGTCCAACTCCTTCCCCTCCCAATTTCACTTTCTCTCCCCTCTCCCCCTCACATTCCCTCTCACTCTCTCTCTCTATCTATCTATCTATCCAACTCCCTCCCCTCCCCATTTCACTTTCTCTCCCCTTTCCCCCTCACATTCTCTCTCTTTCCCCCTCTCTCTCCAACTCCCTCCCCTCCCCATTTCACATTCTCTCCCCTTTCCCCCTCACATTCTTTCTCTTTCCCCCTCTCTCTCCAACTCCCTCCCCTCCCCATTTCACTTTCTCTCCCCTCTCCCCCTCACATTCTCTCTCTCTCTATATATTTTTTTTTTCTTACCACCTTCAAATCTTCTAATTATCTTATCTTTTTCTCTCCCTCTTTTTATTTCTCTCCTCTCCTATGTCTTTCTCTCTCTCTCTCCTCTCTATCTATCTATGTATTTCACTCACTCTCTCTCCTACTTCCCATTTTCATGTCTTCTTTCCTTTACTTTTTTTTATTAATAATAATATTTATTTAATAGCAAAATTATATTTGTCGATTCTGATGTCAGGAAGTAATTTTAGCATCTTAATACGCTAGTAGTTTCGTTTCGAGTTGGTTGGAGCGCAAGGACGACTCTCTGGAAAAAACCCTTATTGCAATGCATCCCACACATCCTCAATAAAGTCGAGGTCTGAATATCGCGGGGGTTGAGGGAAGGTGCGAGGAGATCATGAAGTTTGCAGTGATTGGTGAACATTCTTCAATTCGGGAAATGGAAAATTCAGTCGGGTCTATTTCTAAACTGGCATCTTTGAATGAAACTATTTTCGTGAGAGGAGATCGATCGACCTTGAACCGACAGTAATACAATTCAAATTTGAATGGGCTTTCTGTTAAATTCTGTTGGTTTGAATGGGGAGGGGTTTCTGTTAAATTCTGGACGTCTTTATAAATTCATATTTGACCCTGGAAGGTGCACAATCAGTGGATTGACCTCTTTATTATTCACCAATTATACGTCAAAGTCTAGTTAGTATAAATTCTGTCTGGCAGAAATTAAATTAGTGTTATGAGATACAAATCGCACAGAGTGGCTACAATTAATTATCTGGAAATAAATTTCAGTAATTTCTTTAATTAGAAACTAAGCAAACTTTGCTTTTTGAAAGGTATAAAGTTCGAGAAAAAGATATATATTTAAAGCTATAATTAAATCACTTACGTCTGCACAAAGAGGACAAAAATGTGCGATTTGGGGGATTTTGAGGGATACTTTTAACGACCGTAAGTAATTGAAAAGGTTGAAGGGGAAAGTACGTTTACTAGAGTGAAAAAACCGGGAGGTCTAACAAGATACGGCATACCAGAAAATGGTAGAAACCTTATCGAGACAGTGAGCCTTTTTTCCTCTCATGTGCTTTCTTTAGTAACTGAGAAAGACTTTTATTGTTGAAAATGTCATAAGATTTTCCCAGTTGAAAACAAGCTTCGAGCCGCAAAAAAATCTACTTTTGACCAAATTATCACCCTGTGTCTTCGAAATAACTAAATAGAGAAATAAAGCGAACTAAGTGTAAAAACAACTCTATGGCGAGTCTTAACAATTCTAATTCTATTAGAAAAATGCAAAACTATCGGCAAGAAATTCAGCATGTTCCAAAACCCTCACTTTTCATACTAAATAAAAAGGTAGAAAATGGTAAGTTTAAAATTTCACTTTTGGACGAATTATCATCACAATGTAAAAAATATTCCATTAAAATTAAAGTTTCGAAGCAAACTAGCGGTAAGGGCAACAAAAGTCTTTAAAAACATTCCTGTTTAATGCTAAAATAAACTAGGATAAGCTGATCGACAAACAAAATAGTAAAAAATCACACTGATAATAAAAACAACAAAAAATCTTTCAAAAATTCACTTTTACGTGCTGAAAAATACATCTTAAATTGATCGATAAACAAAATACTAAAATTAATTCGGATTCTAAAATTACCAAACGGATGCTTCACGGAAAACTTCATTTTCAAGTGCTAAAACATGGCAGAGTAAACAAATAAACGACAAATCAAGTGGTAAAAAAGATGCTAAAGCTTAACTATAGATAAAACTCAACAAAAAGTTAAAAAAATACTTTTACGTGCTAAAATAATAAAGAGTGAACTGAACAGCAAACAAAATAGAAAAAAAGGATAATAAAGCAAACTGAACATAAAAGTAACAAAGCTTTTAAAAAAAGTTTTGCTTTACTTTTACGCGCTAAAAAAGACTAGATAAACAGAACGAAAAAATAAAATTAAAATTAATTGTGCTAAAAAACTGATTATTAAAAAAACTCAACAAAACATATTAAAAACTTTATTTTCAAGTGGGAAAAACGAGATAAGTTTAACTGAACGACAAACGAAATGGTGAAAAATTTAATAAAGTTTGTTTTTAGTGTTTTTACGTGCTAAAATAATAAAGAGTAAACTGAACAGCAAACAAAATAGTAAAAAAGGATAATAAAGCAAACTGAACATAAACGTAACAAAGCTTTTAAAAAAAGCTTTCCTTTACTTTAACATGCTAAAAAAGACTAGATAAACTGAACGAAAAAATAAAATTAAAACATTTGTGCTACAACCTAACTGGTTATTAAAAAACTCAACAAAACAAATTAAAAACTTTACTTTCAAGTGGGAAAAACGAGATAGGTTAAACTGATCGACAAACGAAATGGTGAAAAGCCTTATAAACTTTGCTTTTAGTGGCTGAAAAGGCAGGATGAACAAACAAAATCCTAAAAACGGATGCTAAAGTAAACTGACAATAAAATCTCCACAAATTGTCCAAAAAAACTACTTTTACATGCTAAAATAATAAAGAATAAACTTTTTTTGATCAGCAAACGAAATAGTAAAAAAATAAAATAAAGCAAATTGAATATAAACATAACAAAACTTAAAAAATCACCTTTGATTCACTTTTAAGTGCTAAAAAAGACTAGATGAACTGAACGAAAAAATAAAATTAAAACATTTGTTCTAAAACCTAACTGATTATTAAGAAACTCAACAAAACATATTAAAAACTTTATTTTCAAGTGGGAAAAACAAGATAGGTTACACTGAACGACAAACGAAATGGTGAAAAGTTTCATAAACTTTTAGTGGCTGAAAAGGCAGGATGAACTGAACTGCAAACAAAATCCTAAAAACAGATGCTAAAGCGAACTGACAATAAAAACTCAAAAAATTATCTAAAAAAACTACTTTTATGTGCTAAAATATTAAAGAATAATCTGAATAGCAAAAGAAGTAGTAAAAAATAATAAAGCAAACTGAATACAAACATAACTAAACTTAAAAATTAAGCTTTGATTCACTTTAAAATGCTAAAAAAGACTTGATAAAATAAAATGATAAAAATTTGTGCTAAAACCTAACTGACTATTATACAGCTCGACAAAACATTTTAAAACTTTATTTTCACGCGATAAAAACGAGACGGGTTAAACTGAACGGCAAACGAAATTGTGTGAAGTTGTACAAATTTTGCTTTTAGTAGTTAAAAAAGACGGGATGAATTGAACTACAAACAAAATCCTAAAATTGGATGTTAAAGCAGCAAACTGACGACAAAAGTTAAAAATTAGCTCGATTTTTCCGTGCTAAAATAAGATAGGATGAACAGAACGTCAAACAAAATTGAAAAAGAAATTATGAACAAACTATACAAATGACAGGATAATCTGAACGGCAAGCAAAATAATAAAACCGATGCTAAAGCTAACTGATGATCAAAAACCCAAACACAAAGTTTAAAAACACGTTTCAGTGCTGAAAGAAGACAGGATAAACTCAACGACAAAGGAAATATTAAAGACCAAAGAATGCTAAAGCAAATTGGCTATAAAAAAGACATGGTAAACTAACGACAAACAAAATGTTAATACCATCTGGAAAGTTGAGAGGCTAACACCTTGTCAAGGCGTAATTTTAAGTTCATTCATTAGAGAAACCGGGCAATATTTCGTTCCTTCCGAAAGCCATTCATCCCTGATTTACATAATCAACTAACTTCAATCCATCTTGGGTTAATATAAGCCATCCAAGGCTTAAAAGATTTGTCATCAATTAAAAAATAAAACTTGTTGGGAGACTGCTAGGATGCTAAGAATTAAATTGAATAATTACAAATTCCATGTTTGTGCAATTCTTTGTCAGTTATATGTGTATTTAATTTTTTTTTTTTTTGTTTCAGAACACCGGAGCAATGCCCGTCTGTCGTTTCTCTATTGGCCGAGAGCTACAATCCTCACGTGAGATACGGAGCAGCCATGGCCCTGGGAATCGCATGCGCTGGGACTGGCCTGAAGGTAAACTTTTTCCAACTTCAACCCAGACCCGTTTGTTTATGTCAATTTGTTGCAGGAGGCCATCGCTCTTCTTGACCCGATGACGAACGACCCGGTGAATTTCGTCCGGCAGGGAGCCCTCATCGCCTCGGCCATGATACTCATCCAGCACACCGAGCAGACTTGCCCCAAGGTATATGATTACGTTTTGTTTAAATTTTATTTTAACATTTCACTCTACAATTTTAATTTTTACAATTCGATTTTAATGTTTTTCTTTCAGGTCAAGGATTTCAGGGCTTTGTATGCCAAAGTGATAGTCGACAAACACGAGGACGTCATGGCGAAATTCGGAGCAATTCTGGCTCAAGGAATAATCGACGCAGGTAAGATAATAACTATTCCTACAATTAATTAATCTTTAGTGAGGTATTGGTTGAGATAAAATTAATTATTAATTAATTGAAAAGAAAATTTTGGTCAATCGGACCACGAAACAAAATGAAGTATACTTTACTAAAACTCTCCGTGGCCATTTCATTTGTCGCGGAAAATCAAATAGATTACACGGCATTTGAAAAATGGCAAAAAGGAGGGAAAATTCAAAAGGTGGGGTTAAGATTGGAAGTTGGTGTCCGAGTGAATCGAAGTCTCAAGCTCAAGTGGTAGAGCAGCGGCGTATTTAGCAGAAGGTCGTGGGTTCGAATCTCGTTCGTGACACTGACTTTTTATCTCAACTAATACCTTACTTAAAGATTACTTAATTGAAAACAATTTATTTGGTTAATCGGACCCGAAACCTAATTTACTACAATCGTCTACTGCTATCCAAACTTATAAAAGCGGGAATTTTAATCATGTATAATGTCAGAAAACTCATTATATTTGCCAGAAGACATGTGATTAATAACAAAAACCCTGGTGATTAATAATTGTGTGAATGTATTTATTTGGTTAGTGGTTAAGTATCACATACAATTTCACCGTCTGTGTGGACTATCAAGTACCCACAGACTTGTCGAACCAATTAGGTTAACTTGGATAGCGATTGCATGATTTTTACTGTATGTGAATGTTTTATTGGTGTGAATGAAGGGAGGGGTCAAAGTGAAAATCGCCTTGCCGGTCGGGGTCTCAACAGTTCTTCAGACCCGCCAAACTTAGGTTAGATAATAGCTTGAAAGTATATTTTAATTCACTTAGGACAATTTAATAACAAAAAGAAATGGTTAAAGAAATGGTTAAACAGCAAAGGTAGAAGTAATAAAAAAATGCGAGCTAGACGAAACGTGAGGAGCCGGCAATAGCTAGCCTAGCTACTAGCTGGCTGTAAAACAAACATCAAAAATGGAATGAAAACTTGAAAATGTAACAAACTTCCAAGACTATTTCTATTCCGTTAATCCAGTGTTTTTTTGAGTAAAGAAATTTGCAAATACGTTAGGGGTGCACCGCATTCAACGCTGCTGAGATTCGAACCTTGGTCACCTCTTCCAGTGATTGCGACTACCGGCCCCCCTAAAATCAAAAGACCAAACAAAAGATTGGCTTTTGTGTGATTTTGTTTTTAATGAGGTTCTGTTCAGTATGTAAATGGCAAAGCAACCTGACGGCAAAAAATCAGTAAGTCCTGAAAACCTTCACTTTCCTTGCTAAATAGAAAAAGGAAAACTATGGACAAGTTTAATTTTACCAATAAATCCGCTTTTAAGTCAATAAGTTACACTTGTCCAACATTCGGTATTAAAAAACAGTAAACGAATTTTAAAAATTCAATAAATATACAAAACTTTTACTTTACTTGCCAGTCAAAATTATTACAATTTTCTACTCTTCCTGAAATACAAGTTAATAGAAAAAAATCGACGTTTATGTGGGGTACAAGTAAAATTCTAATTTCTAATGTACTGAATTAAAATCAATACAATTTTTTTTCTTTTTTATAAACGAATAAATCCACTTTTAAGTTAAATAGTTGCATTTGTCCAAGATTCTGTATTAAAAAACAGAAACAAAAGTAAACGAACTATTAACAATTCAACAAATATACAAAAACTTTACTTTTTCCACATCAAAATTATTGTAATTTTCTTCCCTTTCTGAATTACAAGTTATTAGAAAAAATTGACGTTTACGTAGGGTAAAAGTAAAATTCTATTTTCACGGTTTTCAAATGCAACGGTACGCCGCCATTTTAAAACGCTTAATGTCCGAAATATAAGACCCAGGTCAGATCCTCATGACTTGTCAGCCACCAAAGCTCAACAACCAGTTGATGCACAAGTTTGCTTCAAAAAGCATAAGTTGATTTTGGAAGAGAATTGTAACGAGCTATGAAAAATGGATATTTGTAAAAACAAATCCTATCTACCGAAAACAGTGGGTACCGCAAGGCCAACAGGTTCAAGCAGAGGTTCGCGAAGATCGATTTGGAAAAAAGATTATGCTTTGTTCAATTCACTAGATTGCGTGGTCCGTTTGACCAATTAATCTTTCAATTAATTAAAGTTTTCAGTTGAGATTAAAAAAAGAGAGAGTAGCGGCATATCTGGCCGAAGGTCGTGGGTTCAAATCCACTCGTGACGCTGACTTTTTTATCTCAACTAAACACCTTAATTAATTGAAAAAAATTATGCTTTAGTGGAATTATGAGGGTGGTTTGCATTTTGAGCTGGTTCCAGATCGCAGGGCAGTTTTCTGCCAGCTTTTCTGTGAACAACTCGAGGGTTTTAAAAGAGAATGTACCCTGCTTGCTCAATCGGGATAAAGCGATATTTCAACAAGACAACACTCCTGCCCATTGTTCACGTTTAGCCAAAGAAAAATTTTCAGAAATGATGGCTGTTAGTATCTTGCCCCACCCCTGAATCGCATCTATGGTCTCTTCCGCTCAGTGGTGCATTTTTTGAAAAGCCGGTACTTCGAAAACGACGTGGATGTCAAATTAGGATGTGGGGGGGGCTCTTCACCTAGGAAGAAACCAAGGACTGGTATCACCACAAAATTTAACTTCTGGCAGAAAGATGGGTTAAAGTTGGTAATGACGGCCTTTAGTTTGAGGGATAATTTTCATGTTTACATTTATATTGAAATTTAAACAAAACTTTTATTTTCTTAACTTATGATTTTTCTTCTTGAAGGGGGGATAATAGTTCATCTCGAAAAAACCACAACCAGTTTTTATCCGCAACGTTTCGGATCTCAGGTTGAGTCTAGTCATCTTCAAAATATTAAAACGTTTGTTCGGAGTCTGAATATGTACCACACTGGCTCTTTTGTTGTTTGTCATAAACTGTTATAAAATATTAATGACTAACGACCACTGTTTTAACCATTGCGTTAACTCACCTGAGGAAGGATTAAAATAAATCCGAAACATTGTGGATAAAAACTGGTTGTGATTTTTTTGAGATGATCTATTATCCCACCTTCAAGAAGGAAAAATCATAAGATAAACTGTTGAGGTCGAAATATAAAAAACATCGTTTATTTTGTATGTGGTGATTAGTGACCGTTAATCGATAATTATTTAGAAATCGTGAGATGCGGTCTGGTGTGATGTAGGTTTCAGAAAAACATTTTCTTTATCGTGCCAACGTTTCGATCTTTATTGAGATCATCTTCAGGGCCTGGGATTTACAAACATTGTTTACAATAACAAATACATTTAGGATGTGGAAAAGTGAATTTATACAATAAAAAATATATTTTTTATATTCAACGTTGGCACGATAAAGAAAATGTTTTTCTGAAACCTACATCACACCAGACCGCATCTCACGATTTCTGAATAATTATGGTTTATTTTCTTACTTTATTGCAAAGACCTTTGTAACAACCTAGTACTTTATTGTGGGACTAGAGTCCTCTAAGAATAACAAAAAGGTAACAAAATTTTTTGCAAATCTGGCGCATGAATTAATGAAGATTTGACGTTAACATAAAGTAAAATAAGTTAAACTAAATCGCATAATATAAAACGTAAAAAACATAATATAATAGTAGCAATAATAAGAATTTAGGTACAAGTAGTAACAATAAAGAATTCTCTGTCTTTTACGAACACAATCACAAACCGTAAACTTAAAAGTTGAGAAAAAGAAGGTAACAAGTTTTCTAATGTTGCAAAAGCACCTAAAATAATAACTGTAGGATCCTGGAATTCGTAATTCGTGGGGGTGCGGAAAATAAATCTGACATAATTCATTAGTCTTTTCAGATCCGTTTCTTGTTCCTCCGAAAGTCCACCATAAGCGACACAGCAGAAAACGAACATCAACATAATTTTTTAGTAAAAAAAAAAAAATGTATATATATATTAAGGTTATGTATTGAAATACATGATTTGTGACCAAGCGACTACATTATAATAAACGAAGAAATAAGAATTTTCTTAACTTGAATACATTCTGACATCAGATACAAAATGTTTTTGTTGGCCCTCAGCCTAAACATAGAAATCAGCAACGAACGGTAACAAATATATGCAGTAAAACAATATATGAAATAATGTTTTTTTTAAGGAATAGTCATAAATAGGAACCAATATGATAATAGTGTCTGAACGGAGAAAAGGCAGCACCAAACCAGTCAGTGAAAACAAAAGGTCCAATTCAGGCACTTGGCACGGATTCAGACTAAATAAAATATATATTGTAACGTCAGTGATAAATAAAGAAAGCAGTATCTAAAATGTTCATGGCTAATTTGTACGATTGGCTGGTTTTTTGTTTTTACTTTTCCTACTGTTCTCAGGCCGTCATTACACTCTAAGTGTTAGATACATTTATTTTAATAAAATATTGCGTATTGACCATAGAAATGCTTAATAACACTGTATAAAAATTAATTAAGGTTTTTAGTTGAGATGAAAAAAAGTTAATGGCACGAGCGGGATTCGAACCCACGATCTTCGGCTAGATACGCCGCTGCTCTACCACTTGAGCTATATCGGTAATAGTTTTCAATAATAATTAGAAGATCGTGGGTTCAAACCCCTCTCGTGCCATTAACTTTTTTCATCTCAACTAAAAACCTTAATTAATTGTAATGTATTAATTGGTCAAGCGGACCACGAAATTAGTGAATTTAATTAATTAAATGAAGTACACTTCACTAAAGCTCTCCTAGGCCATTTCATTTGTCGTCGAGAATCCAATCCGATTACACGACATTTGAAAAATGGCAAAAAGGAGGGAAAACTCATAAGGTGGGGTTGAGATAGGAAGTTAATGTCCGACTGGATCGAGGTCACGATAGCTCAAGTGGTAGAGCAGCGGCGTATCTAGCCGAAGATCGTGGGTTCGAATCCCGCTCGTGCCATTAACTTTTTTTCATCTCAACTAAAATCCTTAATTAATTGTATTAATTGGTCAAGTAGACCACG